CTCACCAGTCACTCCTTGGAAACCCTATACAGGGTCGCTATGGGTCAGAACTTATTCAACGACATTTAACAACAGCAAACAGTTATTACCATTCACTCCAGCTGGGAGGAATTGAATAAAAATTCTCACCTGGGACCATTTGAAACAGGGATCATTTAGTTGATCACGATAAGAAATCTAACCAGGGAGATTGGTCAGGTTGTCATCTGCTGGATTTACAATGAGTCATATCAGATGCAGAAATGGGAGGATTTCACTACCATAATGAAAGAAGAGTCAGGAGTGGAGTGTATAATTTGGAACATGAGAGACATGTGTACTGAACCTCACTGATGCAGGAAAAGTGCTGTGACACTAGAGAAGTGGCAGCAGCATCAAGGGCATGAATCACAGTAGTCATTTTTCCTGGGGAACAATTAAAGTTGAGTACCTTCAGGCAGGAGGCTAGCTGTGGCCTCTGCTTATTTTTGTCGTTAAGTACCTTCCAATAGATTACCTCTACTTAATTGGGGAAGGAGCTCTGGTAGCGTAGTGGTTACGAATCGGGCTGCGAATCTTAAGGTCAGCGGTTCGAAACTACCAGCCGCTCCGCGGGAGAAAGATGAGGCTTTCTACTCCTGTAAAGATTTACACCCTCGGAAACCCTGTACAGGGTCGCTATGGGTCGGAACCGACTTGACGGCACTTAACAACAAGAACAACTTAATTGGGGGAGTTAAGGTTGCTGACTCATGGAACTAGAGCTGAGTGCCTTCAGGCTGATGCTTATGGTAGACTGGCATGTCCTTTGGGTATTTATTGGCAACGCTAAAAGAAATGTGACATTGCCTGAGGAGGGCAGTGTCTGAGAGGCTGAAAAACTGCGGGAAATAGAGAGGTATGCCTCTGGATAATGTTGAGAAGAGGCACTCCTGACTGAAAGGACTGTATCTGACAGTTTCTGATCCTAAATTATAACCTGTTAAATTCCCTAATAAATCCCAGAATCATGAATATTGTCTATGAGTTCTGTGTGACTATGGTGGTGAATTTTCATACTCATTAAAGAAGCAAAAAGTGCCTTGGCAGGGATGGTTATCTATAAAGCATTAGCCTTGAGCTGATACTGAATTTGATTCTCCTTCCCAATTTGTGAAGCCAGAGAAGATCAGATGTGGCCCCCATGCTATTCTCACACCCTACACTAGCGAAGTGAAATTGTATAAGGTGAGTTGGGTAAGGCAAAGAGCAAACTGCTATTGAGTTGTACGCAGATACTGCAGGTATTTACCAGTGAGAGATGCTTCAAATAAGTGAAATAGAACTGGCCCTTACCTCCAGAACAACAATAGGAACAATTACAAGTCTGCATCAGTTCATATTAGGCACCTTCTAGGTCTTGGTCTAATTGAAGGGGATTGTATAGCAATATCACTACTACTCATCTGTCATTTTATTTTACTATGGAAGCGTGCATGTTGCTGTGATGTTGGAAACTATGTCAACAGTATTTTAAATGCCAGCAAGATTATGCATGATGGACAGTTTCAGCAGAACTTCCAAATTAAGACAGACTAGGAAGAAGAATAGGCAGACTCCATCTAAATGTTTAGCCATTCACTTTATGAATAGCAGAGGAATTTTGTCAGATATAGTGCTGGAGATAAGTCCCTCAGGTGGGAAGGCACTCAAAATATATAACTGGGGAAGAGCTGCCTCCACAAGCCATGGTATTTTCAATAGCCTCATATGCATGTGAACTTTGGACAATGAATAAGGAAGACCGTAGAGAATTGATGAATTTCAGGTATGGTGTTGGAGAAGAATTTTGAATGTACCACCAGAATAAATTATTGAATGATGCAGAAAACATCAAGAGAAGATGGAAGGAATACACAGAGTCACTGTACCAAAAGAAAATGGTTAATGTTCAACCGTTTCAAGAGGCAGTATATGATCAAGAGCCAATGATACTGAAGGAGGAAGTCCAAGGTGCATTGAAAGAACTGGCAAAGAACAAGGTACCAGAAATAGATGGAATAAAAATTGAAATCTTTCAAGAAAGTGAGGTGGCACAGAAGGCACTCACTTATCTCTGTCAAGAAATTTGGAAGACAACTATCTGGCTGACTGATTGGAAGAAATCCATATCTGTGCATATTACAAAGAGAGGTGACCCAATGGAATGAGGAAACCATCGGACAATCTCTTTGATATCCCATGCAAGTAAAGTTTTGCTAAAGGTAATACAGAAATGGCTACAATCATACATTGACAGAGAATTTCCAGAGGTTCAAGCCTGATTCAGAAGAGGCCATGGAATGAGGATTATCATTGCTGATGTCTGATGGATCTTGGCTGAAAGTAGAAAATATCAGAAAGATGTTTACCTGTGCTTTATTGACTACACAAAGGCTTTCGACTGTGTGGATCATGACAAGCTATGGACAACATTGCGAAGCATGAGTATTCCAGAACACTTCATTGTGCTCATCAGGAATCTGTACCTGGACCAAGAGGCAGTTGTTCAAACAGAACATGGGAACACTGAGTGGTTTAAATTTAAGAAAGTTGTGCGACAGGGTTGTATTCTTTTGCCATACTTATTCAACCTGTATGCTGAGCAAATAATCCGAGAACCTGGGTTCTATGAAGAAAAATGTGGCATCAGGATTGGAGGAAGGCTTATTAACAAGCTAGAATATGCAGATGATACAACCTTGCTTGCTGAAAGTGAAGAGGACTTAAAACATCTACTGATGAAGATCAAAGAGCACAGCCTTCGATATGGACTGTATCTCAATGTAAAGAAAACAAAATTCCTCACCACTGGCCCAATAGACAACATTCTTATCAATGGAGAAAAGATTGAAGTTGTCAAGGACTTCATTCTTCTTGGGTCAACTATCGACACTCAAGGAAGCAGCAGTCAGGAAATCAAATATGTACTGCATAAGGTAAATTTGCTGCACAAGACCTTTTTAAAGTGTTGATGAGCAAAGATGTCAGCTTGAGGACTAAGGTGTGCCTGACCCAAACCATGGTATTTTCAATAACCTCATATGCATGCCAAAGCTGGACAGTGAATAAGGAAGACTGTAGAAGAATTGATTCTTTTGAGTTATGGTGTTGGAGGAGAATATTGAAAGTGCCATGGGCTGCCAAAAGAACCAACAGATCTGTGTTGGAAGAAGTGCAGCAGAGTGCTCCATGAAGGCCAAGATGGCCAAACTTCATCTCTCATACTTCGGATATATTGTCAGTAGGGACCAGTCACTGGAGAAGGCGATCATGTTTGGTAAGGTGGAGGGCCAGAGAAAAAGATGAAGCCCCCACCCACCAATGAGATAGATTGGCTAAGTGGCAGCATCGATGGACTCAAACGTGGCAACAATAGTGAGGTTTGCCCAGGTTTGGGCAGTGTTTCGTTCTGCTCTGCATGAGATTTCTATGGGTCGGTACTGACTCGATGACACCTAACAACAACAACAACAAACAAAATATGTGCCAGAAGAGCAAAAAAAACTATCTTTGAAGAAGTACAACTTAGAAGGACTTCAGACATGTTATCAGGAGGGACCAGTCCCAGGAGAAATACATCATGCTTGGTAAAGTGGAGGGTTATTGAAAAAGAGGAAGGATTGACGCAATGGCAGTAGCAATGGGCTCAAGCATAGCAAATGTTGAGGATGGTGCAGTACTGGACAGTATTTCTTTCTGTTGTGCATAGGGTTGCTATGAGTTGGAATTGACTTCAGGTTACCTAAAAACAGCAGCAGCATAGCAATAAAACAGAGACATTCTATCCTGTTATAAATTTATCAGTGTCATGGTATTTTCATTAAACTCATATGCATGTGAAAATTGGAGAGTGCATAAGGAAGACCATTGAAGACCTTTTAAAGTGTTCAAGAGCAAAGATGTCAGTTTGAGGACATCTTTGTGCCTGACAAAAAACATGATATTTTCAATAACCTCATATGCATGTGAAAGTTGGACAGTGAATAAGGAAGACCTGAGAAGGACTGATGCATTTGAGTTATGGTGTTGGAGGAGAATATTAAAAGTATTATGGACTACCAAAAGAACAAAGCGATCTGTGTTGGAAGAAGTACTAGCAGGATGCTCCTTAGAAACCGGGATGGCCAGACTTTGTCTCTCATACTTCAAACCTATCATAAGGAGGTACCAGTCCCTGGAGAAGGATATCATGTTTGGTAAAGTGGAGGTTCAGAGAAAGAGAAAGGCCCCCAGTGAGATGGATTGGCACAGTGGAAGCAGCAATGGGTTCAAACATAGCAACAATTGTGAGGTTGGCACAAGACCGGGCCATATTTTGTTCTGTTGTACCTAAGGTCACACCTAACAACAACATGCACTCCATTTTCATACCACTTATCAGAATACAATGGAGCCCTGGTGATACTTCAGGATAAGTGCTGGATTGCTAATGCAAGGTAAAAGTTCAAACCCACCAAGGTCTCTTGGAGAAAAATGAGAATTTCTGCTTTTGTAAAGATTTACATCCTTGAAACTCTACACAGGTTTGATATGAGTTGGAATCAACTCAATGGCAGTTGGTTGGTATTAGAGTACAAATGGGATTTACTACATTCTGATGTGGCACTATAGGATAAGCACTGGACAAAAAATTTGGTTTGAACTGCAAGGCTAGTGGTTCAAACTCACCATCTGCTTCTCAGAAACTTTATACAGCATCACTGTGAGTTGGAACTGACTCCATGGCACTTAATAACAGTAATATTCAGAGAGCTGGAAAATATTCTACTTGCTATTCTAATAGCAAACTTATCTCAATCACCCTAGAGTCTTCAAAAATGCGTCAACAAAGTGCTTCAAAAAGGCAAGGTACCTCATGAAATCTTACTTGCCTCCTAAGTACCGTTTTCTTGGTTACATTTGCTGCCTGGAGTCTTTTGAAGTCTTTTCAGGGCTTTCTAGCAGAGTAAATCCATTCTCTTTCAAACACCCTTTATTCATTAATCTCATTCTCCATTTACCTGATTAACCATCTGGGGTTGAAGCAAATCGACATCTGTGTTTCCAGAAAGACAAACGAATGGTGAAACAGCTTTTCTCCCTTCTTTGCAGTTCATTAAGTGAGCCACAAGCTGGGAGTCTTCACATTCTTTACCTGTAAATTCTGAATGGATTGGGATACATTAGTTTATAAACATCAACCAATTGTCAAGCCTTATGTACTTGTTCAAAGTCTAGGTGTAATGCTGTAGGATAAGCACTGGGCTGCTAACCACAATACTAGCTGTTCAAATCCACCAGCTGCTTCTCAGAAATGTTATACAGGGTTCCTATGAGTCGGAAGTGACTTGACATCACTTAACAACAAATGTACATGTTCTAGACCCTGCTAGAAGTGGAATCTTTCAACTTTTCAAGGCTGACATAATGAAGACTGAAAAAGATACATCACATAAAAGTGATTAGTATTACTTGAAATAGAATATATTCACTAAATGATAGATACTAATGTTGCTATTTTTATTATCAAAATTTGTATTTAATTTAAGTTGTTTTGATCAACAAAAGTGAAAAATTAAATTTAACTCATGTTGTTAAGTGCCGTTGAGTGAGTGCCTACTTATAGCGACCATGTATATGGTTTCCAAGGAGCTGTTAGTGAGTTTGAACCACTGACTTGTGGTTCAAACTGACCTTGTGGTCCAGTGCTTTCTCCTATAGCACCACACCAGGTCTACTGTGTGAATATTCTTGTTATTGTCGTCAAGTGCCATTGAGTCTGTTCTGACTCATTGTGACCCTATATAGGGTTTCCGAAGAGCAGGGGAAACTGCGATCTCAGTTAAGCTACTTCCCTTTATCATAGTTCCTTTTTTGTTTTTTGTTTCTTTTCTTTTCTCATCTACTGAGAAGTTTATATCTAATAACTTCTGAGAAAGAAAAAGGAAAAGCAAGCACTAATAATGTTTACTATATTTCAAGAGCTCTTTTAAAGAAATGGATATATCTATATTAACTGGTTCACTTTAAGCTCACCAAAATTAAGTAAATGATGCTATTCTCATTCTTAAATATCTATTGATAAATGTAAGGCAGGAAAATATTGATTCATTTACTTAACGTTTCAATGCTAATAAATAGCAGAACCAGGATTTGGAACCAGGTAGTTGCTAAGAGCCTATGTTTTTTAATACAAAGTATATTTCCTCTCAAGACAAAGTGAGTTGGGGTACATCAAGATCAATTCCCATAACATAGTCCGCAAAGACAATGTTCTTTATCCCACTTTGACTAGTAACCATCTATTGACCTCTCACTGCCCAGTCAAGAAGAATGAAGAAAATTTAAAATGCATGGAAACAATTATCCAAAGAACTAATGAAATGTGTGAACTTCAGCATCCATGACACTAAGACCAGAAGAACTATATGATGCCCAGCTACCATTGTTGACCCCTTTGAAGGAGATCACAGTAGGAGGTCCTGGATAGAGTTGCAGAAAACTGTGAAACAAAACCCAAAGTAATGAAAATAGACCAGGCTTATTGCTGTGATAAAGAATGGTGGAATCCTAGCAACTATGGTCCTTACACACCCTTTAAGCATGAACTCACCCCTGTGGTTCAACTTTCAGTAAAACGCTAGACAGACCTATAAGATGAACAGTAACACCAAGGAGGGAGGCACTCCTTGGAGCAATGAACTATCTGAGACCAAATCAGAAGACAAAGGGATGTGAAAGAAGGATGGAAGAAAATGGTAACTGCAGGGAGGAAGTGGGAAGAGCATGATTACATTGTGAGGCTTGTAATCAATATCATGAATCAAAATAGGCATGAATTGTTGAATGAAAAGCAATTTACTTGGTAAACTTACATCTAAATCACAATAAATAGATAAAAAGTAAAAAGGGACAGATGAGTGCCTAGTTTTTCTTTATCTCATAGGTGCTCAAACTCCATTTCCCAGGCTTGACTCAAAAGCAAAATTAAATCAAGATGTTTTGTAAATAACTTTAATTTCATTCTACACTGCCTTTTAAACTTCTAATAAACACAAAATTTCTTGCTTTGGAAAACAGAAAATATTCCCTATTCTAAGGACAACTGACTTTTCCAAGATTCTACTAATTTTCTGGACTCCTGATATGGCATTGTAGAATACACACTGTAAAGCTAACCACAAGGTTGGCGGTCAAACCCACTAACTGCTCCTTGGAAACCTCATATAAGGTCGCTATGTGTTGGAACAGACACAATGGCACTTAACTACAACAGGAACAACAAAAATTTTTCTGGGGTAGACTTCTGGTTTGAGGGCGAGGGAAGCAGAGACAGATAGTAAAAGCTCCTTTGAAAAGGGCAGAAAAAACAGAGGAGAGGTCCGCGGAACAGCGGAGGAGATCTGGATCTTGTATAAGGCTGCGGGTACCAGTTTCCCGTGCCCAGCAGTGGAGAAATTTTCCTGTGGAAGCAAAATACAGCAATTTCTGAATCAATCTGGTGGCTCCCCGGAGGTCCTGAGGTTGGAGGACGGGACCACAGCCAAGCGGAGGCAGTGACCCAGCGCTAGAAGCTGGATTGTCTGGAGGAAGAGGTGTGATCAATTTTTCATCTTTCACTTTTCATTTTTCACATATCTTTCCTCTTCACTCCAATCATGCCCTCACTGCCCAGACCAGACACCTTAAGGCAGATGGGAGCACACCCCCAAAAGGGTCCAGCGTTGCACCCGCAGTTTTCACAGGGCACATAGAGGAATCCCACAGGCTGCTTCTTATGACATCTGGCTCTGGTACCCAGACACAAAGTTGACCTGGGTGGGGCCCTTTAGCTCTGCCTAAACAGCAAAGGCCACTGGATAGTCAATTATGATTTTAAGTTTGTTTTTGATTGGTAGTTTCTGTCTCTGCTTTTATATTGTTTCTGTCTTTGGTCCTTTTGGCTTCACTCTTTTCCCAGGAGTGGGAGCTTACTCCCCATACCTTACTCAAGAAGAGAAAGCAATTGTGCTCATATAGCCAAGCTACAAGCATACCCTGAATATCCCACCACCTGGACAATAGCCAATACCAGCTGCTAGGCATTACACATGAAAAGGGAAGCCTATCTCCATATCATATCTACCAGGAGACACTCAATAAGCTTAACAGCAAAGCAACATACATCAATTTAAGCATCAAAAACCCACATAACTACTGAAAATGTCCAAGAAAACACAATTAAAGATGTCAACACATGTACAAAAACAGAAAAAAGTAACTGAGACAAATGAGCTGGAAGCCGAGAAGCTATCTGCAATAAAAAACAAACATGGTTTCAATGGGTAAAAGTGGGGAAATAATGTTAAGATGCTTGGCTGTCTTTTGAATCTTGGTTTCCCTTGCCTACTATTGTAAAATAGACACTTGAAGAGGAGAGAGAGGAATAGCCAGAAACATCACCATAGAAAGCTTGTAAGTCCATCTTCAGCCTATAACTGATTGGAATACCTAAAATGGGAATGGAACTTGCCCAGTGAAGGAGGCTCCCTGTGGAGCCTTTGCATTGTACAAGACCATAGGTGGAATCCTGATCCCCATCCAGAATCTTGGGAGATGGGGGGTTTCCACTTGAAAGGGCAAGTCGACCAACTTGGAGCAGCCAGAAGAACAGAAGACTACTAAAGAACTAATAAGTTGTTCCCCTGGGAGCCATCAAGGCAAGTGGTCAGGTCCCCTCAAGGCAAAACCCCTTCCAACACTGAAACTTAAGTGGAATACACAAGCAGGCATGTGGTCTTCTGCTGACCACATTGGTCACTGATAAGGGGAAGAGGGAAAAAAACATCAATGAAGTTGTGAGCTAAGTCTGACCCCATTCAATAGACTTCTCTTAACCTGGATTGAGACTTGGCTAACTAGCAGTATGACAAGACCTGGGGACTCCTCGACCCAGGGGTAGGGATATGGCCCCAAAGGACTAGAGTGGAATGTGAAGCATCCAGCTGATGTGAAGTGAGGGGAGGTGTACAGGAACACTCACACTTGCAGATAGTATCCATTTGACCTGGCATGAAGAGGAAGAAAAAAAAAAAAAAAAAAAGAGTAACCCACTACAATTGGATGAACTTGACCTATGCTTGTGGATGCAGTATGATAAAGGAGCGAACAAATCTTTACAGTGAGGATCATTCCCACCCCCTTGGTAAACAGGGCCGACAAGGATGGGGAACCTAGACATTGGATACCCAAAATGGGGGTGCTACAAAGGCAAGAAGTGACTAGCTTACAAGCTTTCAGTATGGAACTTAGTTCCAGAGGATACGGGGAAAGGTATAATCTCCACTGAGTTGTTTCCATCCAACCTGTCTGGATGGGGTTGATAAAAGGTATGGGGGATAGGACTCCTATGGTTCAATGGGGAATGATTGCTATCAGGTCTGACAGTGAGTGTTGGAAAGGTACATGTAAATATTTTGTAACAAGAGGAGGGTAGCAGCTGATTTTGAAGTTCAGGGGTGGAGATCCCTGGAACCATCAAGGGAGGGAGAAAAGCGAAGTGTGGAACCCTGTCCAGGGAGGCAATGACACCAGGGATGGAGGCAGAGATGAGGATGTGGAAAGAAGGAGTGGCTGGAGACTCTGGGCTCAGGGAGAGGGAGGGGCTGTATGTTGGCGGCTGGTGGTGGGGGTGTCAGACATACCCTTTGGTTGTTTGATGATGCATGCAGGGGATTGTAATCATTGCAATGAAACGAAATATGATAGGATGAATATAAGGATAATGGATAATGCTCTCCCATGGAAACTGACACACAATTCACAATTAAAAACATATATATTCTGGGGTAAATTATACTTTGACAAGATTATTTACTCTTTAAATTGTTCCACAATAGAAATCAAAGATACTTACTGATATTTGACAATGGGAGTTGATATTCCTGCTTCATATCAGTCATTTTGGAAACAATTAGCAGGAAAGAAGCAAAGTCCTTTGTCACGTTCATGTTATACTCATGTAAAGAAGCATTAAAATCCTCAGGGAGCTCATCAAGGAATACCTATAGTCCAAGTTATTTTCAGAGAGATACTTTCATTGAAATGCATACTTTGAGAATGGAGGGATAAAGGACATTGTGATAGAATTCTATAATATTTAATAATGTCAGTGCTTAATTCTTTCATTTGCAAAATTAAAGTAAAATTACTTTTGTTTCTATTTGCATTTATAAAGAAAAATACCTTTACTTTTATTATAGCTTTATACTACTTAATCAAACAACTTTTAAAATAGAAGTTTACCCAGAAGTGCTATTAGATTTATGAATTTTTGAAGAATTTAGTGACTTATTAGAGAGAAAACAACAAATTAAAACACCTGGGATAAATGTAATTTATACTGTAAAATTTGCATTGAACACGTCTGTCCCACAAGATCTCTTCAAAGTGTTCAAGAGCAAAGGTGTCAGTTAGAGGACTAAGGTGAACTTGATTTAAGCTATGGTAGTTTCAGTAATCTCATTTGCATGTGAAAGTGGACAATGAACAGGCAAGACTCTAGAAGAATTGTTGCATTTGAATTATAGTTTTGGAGGAGAATATTGAAAGTACTATGGACTTCCAAAACACAAACAAATCTGTGTTGGAACAAGTACTGGCAGAATGCTCCTTACAAGCCAGGATGCCCAGACATTTTTTTGTCTCTCATGCTTCAGACATATTATCAGGAGGGACCAGTACCTGGAGAAGGATATCATGCTTGGTAAAGTAGATGGTCAGAGAAAAAGAGGAAGACACCCCAAAAAGATGGATTGGCACAGTAGCAGTAGCAATGGGCTCACACAAAGCAACAATTGTGAGATTGGTGAAGGACTGGGTAGTGTTTTGTTCTGTTGTGATAGGTTGTTGTGAGTTGGTGCTGACTGGATGGCACGTAATAATAACACCATACAGTAAAATCAAGCTGGATTCACTTTGTAAATATTTTGTTAGGAATTTTTCGCATCTAGAACCGACTCGACGGCACTTAACAACAACAACATAACAACATATTTAGATATATTTATAACTTTCATTTTTGTAAAGTACTTGTCAGATTTTGTGTTACGATGAAGCTGTGTTAGACTTAGTTATGTAGTTCCCCCTTTTCTTCTCTAGAAGTGTTTGGGAAAAGTTGATGTCATTGCTTAATGATTTGTGATAACTCTCCAGTGAAACTATCTAAACATGGGGGTTTCTTTGTGAGAAAGTTTTATATAATAAATCAAATGTCATAGTAAGTGTCACTACTAAAAGGAACCAAAAAAAAAAAAAAAACCATAATGGTAAAATATACCAGGCTCATGGCTAGGACGACTTAACATAAAAATATCAATACTTCTCAAAGCTGCGATCTATAGATAAGATGTGATATCCATCAAAATTCAGCATTGTTCTTTAAAGAGATAGAAAGACTGATTACCAAATTTATAGGGAAAGGAAAGAAATACCAGATAAGGGGAGAGTTATAGGATAAGCACTGGAATGTTAACTGCAAGCTTGGTGGTTCAAACCCACCAGCTGCTCCTTGAAAGGGTTGCTTTGAGTCAGAACAGACTCAGTGGCACTTAGCAACAACTTAAAAACTAAAGAACATAGTTGTTGTTCTTAGGTACCATTGAGTCAGTACCAACTCATAACGACCCTATGCACAACAGAACAAAACACTGCCTGGTTCTGGGCCACTCTCACAATTGTTGTCATGCTTGAGCCCATTGATGCTGCCACTTTGCCAATCCAGCTCACTGGGAGTCTTCCTCTTTTTCTTTGACCCTCCACCTTAACAAACATGATAGCCTTCTTCAGCGACTGGTCCCTCCTGACAATATGTCCGAAGTATGAGAGATGATGTTTGGCCATCCTGGCCTCTAAGGAGCATTCTGGCTCCACTTCTTCCAACACAGACCTGTTGGCTCTTTTGGCAGCCATGGCACTTTCAATATTCTTCTGCAACACTATATCTCAAAAGCACCAATTCTTCTACAGTCTTCCTTATTCACTGTCCAGCTTTGGCATGCATATGAGGTTATTAAAAATACCATGGTTTGGGTCAGGCGCACCTTAGTCCTCAAGCTGACATCTTTGCTCTTCAACACTTTAAAGGTCTTGTACACCAGATTTGCCTAATGTAATAGGTCATTTGATTTCTTGACTGGTGCTTCCATGAGTGTTGATAGTTGATCCAAGAAGAATGAAGTCCTTGATAACTTCAGTCTTTTCTCCATTGATAAGAATGTTATTTATTGGTCCAATGGTGAGGATTTATGCTTTCTTTACATTGAGATGCAATTCATACCGAAGGCTGTGTTCTTCAATCTTTATCAGTAAATGTTTTAAGTCTTCTTCACTTTCAGCAAGCAAGGTTGTATCATCCATATATTGCAGATTGTTAATGGGTCTTCCAATCATGATGCCATGGTTTTCTTCATAGAACCCAGCTTCTTGTATTATTTGCTGAGCATGCAGAGATCAAATTAGTACTGTGAACGAATGCAATCCTGTCGCACACTTTTCTTAATTTTAAACCATTCAGTGTTCTCAAGTTCTATTCAAACAACTGCCTCTTGGTCCATGTACACATTCCTCATGAGCACAGCTAAGTGTTCAGAAATACTCATGCTTCAGAATGTTGTCCACAGCTTGTCATGATCCATACAATCAAAAGCCTTTGTGTAGTCAATAAAGCACAAGTAAACATCTGTCTGGTATTCTCTGCTTTCAGTCAAGATCCATTGGATATCAGCAATGATATTCTCATTCCATGTCCTCTTCTGAATCTGGCTTGAACCTCTGGAAGTTCTCTGTCAATGTATGCTTGAAGCCATTTCTTTATTACCTTTACTAAAACCTTACTTGCATGGGATATCAAAGATATTGTCTGATGATTTCTGCATTCCGTTGGGTCACCTCTCTTTGGAATGGTCACAGATACAGATTTCTTCCAATTAGTTGGCCAGATATTTGTTTTCCAAATTTCTTGGCAGAGATGAGTGAGTGCCTCCAGGGCCACCTCATGTTCTTGAACGATTTCAATATTTATTCCATCAATTCCTGGTGCTGTTCTTTGCCAATGCCTTCAATGCACCTTGGACTTCTTCTTTCAGTATCATTGGCTCTTGATCATATGCTACCTCTTGAAATGGTTGAACATCAACTGTTTCCATTTGGTACAGTGACTCTGACATCTCAATCTTCCCCATTTTAAAGCCTAATTTATAGCCACAAGTACTCAGAACAGCCTGGCACTTGTACAATGATAGACACTAGAGAAATGCAATAAAATTAAGAACACAGACGTAAACCCATCTACATATGAACAAATGATATTTGATTAAAAAAAAGTCTAAACTCATTAAATAGTGAAGAGATAGTTTCTTTTAACAAATAGTGCTGTAAATACTGACTCTTCATTTGCAGAAAAATTAAATAGGGCACATATTTCATACCATATACAAATGCAAACTCAAGACTACTCAAAGATACCAAAATAAACCCATCTATGAAAAAAATAGGGAGAAATTTAGGAGTTCTAATGCATGGAATTAGTAATTGGAAAATATGGCCTTGATGATAGAAATTAAGCTTACTATTACATGACAGAATTTTGAAAGTTCACTCATGTATTCATTGCAAATATGCTTTAAAAATCACATAACAGATGAGTATGCATATGAACCTCACCAGATGGAATACACAGAAATATAATTGACTATATCTGTGGAAAGAGATGGTGGAAAAGTTCCATATCATCAGCCAAACAAGGCCAGGGACAGATTGTGGAACATCAACTACTCATATGCAAATTCAGGCGGAAGCTGGACAAAATAAAAACAAGTCCACAAGAGTCAAAATGTGACCTTGAACATATGCCACCTGAAGTTAGAGGTCATCTCAAGAACAGATTTGATTAATTAGACACTAATGACTGAAGATCAGAAGAGTTGTGGGATGAGATCAGAACATCATACAGGAAGAAAGCAAAAGGTCATTCAGAAGAAAAGCATTGAAACAGATGTCAGAAGAGACCCTGAAACTAGCTCTCCAGCATAAGAAATGCAAAAGCAAATGAAAGAAATGAGGAAGTGCAAGAGCTGAACAGGCAATTTCAAAGATCAGCTTCAAGTATTATAATGAAATGTGCAGAGTTGGAGTTAGAGAACCAAAAAGGAATGACATGCTCAGCACTTCTCAAGCTGAATGAATTGAAGGAAAAAATTCAATCATGGGATTGCAGTATATATACTATGGGCAAAAGGGAGTGCTGTTGTGGCACTGTAGGACAAGTACTCGACCATAAGGTTGACTTGAACTGCAAGGTCAGAGGTTCAAACTCATCAGCCACTCCTCAGAAACCCTACACAGGATAGTTTTGAGTCAGAACCAACTCTATGGCACTTAACAACAACAACAACAACAACATGGGCAAAATAGTGAATGCAGAAAATGTCAAAAGAAGATAGAAATACACAGAGTTACTGTACTAAAAAGAAATGGTCGATTTTCAGCTATTTCAAGAAATTGAATATGACCAAAATGAATGTTATTGAAGAATGAAGTCCAAGGTGAATTGAAGGCAATGGTGAAAAACAAGATTCAGTGATTTATGGAATACAAATTGAAATCTTTCAAAAAAACTAATGCAGCACTGAAGGCATTCACTCATCAATGTCAAGAAATTTAGAAGACAGCTACCTGGCCAACAGAATAGAAGAGATCCAGATTGTGCCTATTCCAAAGAAAAGTTGACACAACAGAATGTGGATCATTAGACAAAATCATTAATATTACAAGCAAGTAAAATTTTGCTAAAGATAATTCAAAAATAGCTGTAACAGTACATTGGCAGGAAACTGTCAGAGGTTCAAGTGGGTTTCAAACGAGGACATGGAGCAAGGCTATCATTGCTAACGTCAACTTTATCTTGGTTGAAAGCAGAGCATACCAGAAAGATGTTTACCTGTTCTTTCTATTTACTATTCAAAATCTTTTAACTGTGTGAGTCATGAAAAGCTATGGATGACATATTGAGAATGGGTATTCCAGTACACTTAATTGTGGTCATGAGGAGCATGTACACAGACCAAGAAACAGTTGTTGTTAAGTGCCATGGACTCAGCGACCCTGTAGAGGGTTTCCAAGGAACAGCTAATGAATGGTTTTAAATCAAGAAAGGTGTGTGCCAGGGTTGTACCCTTTCACCATATGTATTCAATCTATATGCTGAACAAATAATCTGAGAAGCTGCATTATCAGGATTGGCAGATGACTCATTAAAAATCTGCAGTATGCAAATGATACAATCTTGCTTGCTGAAAGCAAAGAGGACTTAGTGATGAAGACCAAAGACCACAGTTTTTGGAATGGGTTGTACCTCAATATAAAGAAAACAGACATTCTCACCACTGGACTAATAAATAACATCATGAAAAATGGAGAAAAGGTTTTAGGTGTCAAAGAATTCATTTTGTTTGGATCCTCAATCAACACTCATGGAAGCAGCCATCAAGAAATCAAAGGAGTTATTGTATTAGGCAAGTCTGCTACACAAGAACTCTTTGAAGTGTTCCAGAGCAAAGATGTCATTTTGAGGACTAAGTTGCTCCTGATCCAAGTATAGTATTTTCATTCACCTCATATGCTCACGAAAGTTGGACAATTAATAATGAATACTGGAGAATTGATGCATTTGAGTTGTGGTGTTAGAAAAAAATATCAAAATCACCATGGCCTATCAGAAAAACAATCAAATCTGTGTTGGAATACATATAGCCAGAATGCTTCTTAGAAGCCAGGATGGTGAGACTTTCTCTTTCATACTTCGGAAGTATTATCAGGAGTCATCAGCCCTTGGAGATGTTCAAGGGCTTGGTGCTGCTTAGATTTCTTCCTTCAATACCTTTATTCTTGATCATATGGCCCATCTTGAAATGACCAATTCTTTTTGGTACAGTGACTCTGTATTCCTTTTAACTTCTTTTGATGTTTCCAGTGTCATTCAACATTTTCCCCACAGGATCCTCCAATATTTCAGCTCAAATCTTGAATTTTTTACTTCAGTTCTTTCAGCTTGAGAAATGCTTGAGCATGTTCTACCCTTTTGGTTTTCTAAGTCAAGGTTTTTGTACATTTCGTTATAACTTTTGACTTTGCTTTCTTGAACTGCCCTTTGAAATTTTCTATTCATAGTTTTTGCTCAATCATTTCTTCCATTCATTTTTAGCTTCTCTACTCTAAAGAGAAATTCAGGTGGGACATACTCAATGTCCTATTTAGCTCCAGTGCACTTATTTTAATTTCTTCAGCTTCAGTCTTAACTTGCATAGGAGCAACTAATGGTCTCTCCCACAGCTGGCTCCTGGACTGTTTTGGATAATATTATTGAGCTTCTCCATCGTCTCTTCCCACAGAGGAAGTCCATTTGATTCTTGTGTGTCCCATCTGATGAGGTCCAAGTGTATAGCTGCTGTTTATGTTTAAAAAAAGGTGTTCTGGTAGTGTAGTGGTTATGAATAGGGCTACTAACCTCAAGGTCAGCAGCTTGAAACTACCAGCTGTTTCATGGGAGAAAGATGAAGTTTTCTGCTGCTGTAAAGATTTAAAACCTCAGAAACCCTATGCAGAGTCAGAACCCACTCCACAGCACATAACCAACACCACTAGTCATTGGTCCTGGAAAATTCTATCATGTGATCTCCAGCATTGTTTTAATCATCAAAGTCATATTTTCCAGTTATGAAATCTTCTTCTTTGTTTCCAACGTTTCCATTCCAATCACCAGTAATTATCAATATATCTTGATTGCACGTTTGATCAATTTCAGACTGAAAATGTTGATATAACTTTTTAATTTCATCATTGTTGGTTTTAGTGATTAGTGTACAAATTTCAGGAATAGTATCAACTGGTCTTCCTTGTAAGTGTATGGATATTATCCTAACACAGACAGCATTGCATTTCAAGACAGCTCTTGAAATGTTCTTTTTGATGATGATTCTGATACCAATCCTCTTCAATTTGACATTCTTGGCACAATAAACCATATGATCGTCCAATTCAAAATGGCTAATCCAGTTCATTTCAGCTCACTAATGTCTAGGATGGAGTCCTGATGTGGCGCTGTGGGTTAATGTGCTGGAATACAAGGCCACTTTGAACTGCATGGTTGTTGGTTGAAGCTCACCAGCTGCTCTTTGGAAACCCTATACAGGGTCGCTATGAGTCAGCGCTGACTTGAGGGCACTTAACAATAACAACAACAGCAATGTCTACAATATCAATCTTAATGCATCATTCTGTTTCATTTTTGACCATTTCCAATTTTCCTAGATTCATACTTCCTACATTCCGTGTTCCAATTATGAATGGATATTTTCAACAGTTCGTATCCATCAGTTGCTGCTCTATGGGAGAAAGCTGAGACTTTCTGTTCTGGCTGAAACCCTATACAGAGTTGCTCTGAGTTGAGACGGACTTATATTACGGAGCTGCAGCAGCAGGATTTCTTCTTCACTGAAAGCTGTAATTTAATGCAATTAAATGCAAATGCATAAAAAAAAAAAAAGAATTGACCCGTTCTTTCCTTAAGACATTTACTTTTTTGGTAGATATAATGGAGTCCTGACGTGGCATTATGGGCGAATGCATCAGACTGCAAAGCCTCTTGAACTGCAAGGGTGGTGATTCAAGCTCACCAGCTGCTCCTTGGAAACCCTACACAGGGTTGCTATGGGTTGGAATACACTCGATGGCACTTAACAACAACAACAATGGAGAAGAAGTATGAATTCGAAATGTATTGGTATGGCTTTATAGGATAAGCACTTGAGCACAAATCACAAGGTCGGCAGTTCAAACCCATTAGCTATTCCTCAGAAACCCTAGACAGGGTGCTGAGTGAGAACTGATTGGATGTCCCTTAACAACAATAACAACATAACATTAACTATAGAAAATTATTATTAAAAACAAATAAATCATTCCATATTAAATAAAAATCTACTGCTGCTTAAATATTTCTGAAAATATATTTAATTATCTTAATTATTAGATTTTGTGAGAATAATTGTACCTTTGATTGATGAAACTTTAAATTATCATCGTAGAACTTTGCTGGCATATATCTTCTTCCAAACAGATTTGCTAACACTAACATTAGCTTTTCCATTACATCTTGAGAAAAGTGTTTTGAGCCTGTTCAAAACAAAGTGTTTTGTTGTAAATAGAAAAAAAGTACATTGATCCCATTTTCATATTTAAATCAAATGCTATATTACATCTCATTTAATGCAAACTAAGATTTCATAACAAAAATAGCAACTGCAGAATGACTATACTTACTGACAGCTTTACATCTCCTGAGTGGGTGATCAGTTTTCCTAAAGTGTTTTATGGTCATGTCTCTAAAAAAATATCTCTGATGGTACCATGATATCTAATAAAATCCAGTATCCTTAGTTCAGCTTTTAAGACTTCTCAAATTTCAATCCACTCCCTTACTTTCCTTCCACTCATACTATCTTTTGGTCAACTTGTATTCTTCACAAAATATACGCATTTACCCGAGTAGTTAAAAAGTTGCTTTATATAATACCTGGGATTCTGAAGCCCCACAATCTATTTAATCTTAGCTCTGATACTTAATAACACTGTGTTACTTATTTAGATTATTTAACTTCTCTGTAAATCAGTTTCCGCAGTTATGAAATAGCGATAGGCATATTATCTACCTTATAAAGTTATAAAATTTTCTATCCTAGACTTGCATACACATATACTCTCTCTCTCTGAAACACACACTTGCACTTCCTGTTGTCTGAGATTATTTCTTTTTGTACAGGGCATAATTTTCTGAGAAACTTTTTTCATGTATTGTTTCTCATAACAATACATGATCAGAATACAGTGACTACACTTACTTTGCAAAGTAGAGTGTGTTCCTATTAGTTTTGATAAAAACAATGTGAAACATGTTTCATTCAGCAGGTAGTAGAAACTATTCATTTATAAGCACAAATCTTACAAAAAGAAACATTTATTTAAAGGACAATTTTGTAGTTATATATTAAAAAAGGAACGCTTTCAGTAACAACTATGTTAAATACAATATAATACAATGCAATACTATTATTGTGTGTCATCAAGTAGGTTCCAACTCATAGGAATCTTGTATATGGTTTCTCAGAACGGGTAGTGGATTTGAACTGCTGACATTTTCGTTAGCAGTCCAGTGCTTAGCCTGCAGCACCACACCAGAGCTCTTAAATAAAATACTAGGTAGAAATTACAGATTAAATTTATTTAAAAAATATATAATATATGGGCAAAACTAATGACATGTTTAGGGGAAAACAAAATTGTAGAGTGTATAATTGAGGCCTGGTGTGGCTAATGATAATTTAAAAATGGCTGCAACAGTATATTGACAGGAAACATGCAATCAGGGATATTATTGCTGATATCAGATGGATCTTGACAGAAAGCAAAGAATACCAGAAAGATGTTTACCTGGGCTTTATTGACTACACTAAGGCATTCAACTGTGTGGCTCATGACAAGCTATGGACAACATTGCAAAGCAGTATTCTGGAACACCTAATTGTACTCATGTGGAACTTGTACATAGAACAAGAAGCAGTCATTCATACAGAACAAGGGGACACTGAATGGTTTAACATAGCAAAGGTGTGTACCTGGGTTGGATTCTTTCATCACACTTATACAGTCTGCATGCTGAGAAGATCATCAGAGAAGCCGGATTATATGAAGAAGAATGTGGTATCAGAATTAATAGAAGACTCAGAGTCCTGGTATGGCACTATGGGATAAAGCACTGGACTGCAAGTTTGGTTTGAACCACAAGATTTGAAGTTCAAACTCACCAGCCACTCCTGAGAAACTCTATACAGGTTCTCTATGAGTTGGAAACAACTAGACGGCACTTAAAAACAATGTTAATGTCCAATGCATACTGTTGGGTCACCTCTCTTCAGAATTGGCACAAATAGGGATCTCTTTCAATCAGTTGGTCAGTTAGCTGTCTTTCAAATTTCTTGGCACAGATGAGTGAGTGCCTCCAGTGCTGTACCAATTTGCTGAATGATTTCAATTTGTATTCCATTAATTCCCAGAACCTTATTCTTTGCCAATGCCTTCCACACACTTTGGACTTCTTCCTTCAGTACCATTGGCTCTTGATCATATATTTCCTCTTGAGATGCTTGAACACTGACCATTTCTTTTTGGTACAGTGACTCTGTATTCCTTTTATTTTATTTTGATGCTTTCTGTATCATTCAATATTTTGCCCATACAATCCTTAAATAAAGCATTTCAAAGCTTGAATTTTTCCTTCAGTCTTTCAGCTTGATTCATGCTAAGCATGTTCTTCCCTTTTGGTTTTCTAACTCCAAGTTTTTGAACATTTTATTGTAATATTTGACTTTGTCTTCTCAAGCTGTCCTTTAAATTTTCTGTTCAGGTCTTACCTCCATATTTCTTCCATTTGTTTTTGCATATCTATGCTGGAGATCAGATTTCAGAGTTATTTTTTTCTGACACCCATTTTGGTCTTTTCCTTCTTTATTGTCTTCTTATATATCAATATTTTTGACATCTGAAGACAATGAATCACTGAACTTAAGTACTACATGGTTCGTGATTTTTTTTTCTAGTAAATATACTTTAAACATTCAAATAATCTGGTGAAAGTGACACATTTAAATGTTGTTCTTCTTAAGTGCTGTTGAGTTGATTTTGACTCATAGCAACCTTATATAGTGTTTCCAAGGTGTGGCTTATGGGTTTGAACCACAGATCTAGTGGTTAGTCTACAAGATTGGTTAGTCTTATCTAGTAGTTTCATACCAAGACTTCATGTATTTGAATACGTGTCACAAATATGGCAGTATCTATCTTGTTGTTGTTAAGTGTTGTAGAGTCGGTTCCGACCCAGAGTGACCCTGCATAGAGTTTCCGAGGAGTATCTGGTGAGCTTGAATGCCAACCTTGTGGTTCAAACTGACCTTGCAGTTCAGTGCATTAACCCACAGCACCACCCCAGAGCTCTCTATCTGTGCGATTTTAATTTAGTATCTATTTTGAATACATAAATATGAGTATGTATTGTATTTTATTTTAGAAAACAACAACAGTCCTCCAAGTAGTAGCACACTACACATCTGTTGCTATTTTCAGACTACATATTTGAAACTTCAAGCTTACCTTTACTGGTTGGCTGGCAGAGATTATGAAAAAGGCCTCTCTCAAAAAAATGGACAAAAACAAGATTTGAAGGTTCATGATAATACAAATGTGACACAAGTCCAGCAAATCCCATTGGATTACCTTCTTGATCTAAATAGCCCTAAAAATTAAAAACTAAATCATTAGTGTGACTAATTTCACCATGCATATAAATAAATAAGACAATTTTAAATATGAAAATAACATCAATTATTGTTAACTGCCACAGAATCAGCCCTAGGCTCATGGAGACCCCATATATAAGAGGATTGGCCTATAGATTTTCATTGACTGATACTCTGGAGGTAGATATAAGACCTTTCTTGTCTGGAAGTTCCACTGAACCTGCTCAGCATCAAAGCAACATAAAAGTCTCCAATATAGGATGAGTGGTGGCAGCAGATAAGGTGCACCTATCAAGACTCAAAACTGGGTTTCCTGCATGGAAGGTAATAATTCCATCATTGAACCACGTAAGCAATATTAATTATTAGACATGCCCTTCAAAGACTATGATTAGTTCAGCATGACAAGAAATCTAGATATTAGGAATATTCGTATTTCACATAAAAGACAGTGCACAATTGTACCTCTTTTACCAGCAACTGCAATGAAAACAGGAAGTAAAGTTTTAACATGTCCATGGCTCTGGGTTGCTTGAAGGATAGCAGTGAATGTTTTAGCACAGACAGCACCTTTAGAGGAGAGTACTTTCAGTTATCCAAAGTTAAGAATTAGGAAATATATTCTTTTTTTTATTTTAATCGAATAGGTTTAATGTGATGAATTCAATGCTTTAAAATATCTATCACCTGAGAGTACATAGTAATGCTCCATTCTGCACGATTCTTTAACACTACCCAAAGGGATAGATTAGAAAATGATAGAATATAAAAATAAATGATCATCTAAACATCAACACAATGCAAAGAGAGAGTATGAATGTTTCCATAGGTAGACATGACCTGGGGTTAGGAATTTTATTGAGCTTGATAAAACCACTAACTTAATAGCTTCATCTAAGGATAGTGTTTGTTCTTGAAAATGGTACCAAAATGTAGTTTGGAACATACATGTAATTCCACCAGGTTAACTTTTTTATCTTCAAAATCTATGGCCAGGTTGAAAGCTGATAATGATCTAGTCTTACTGAAATGGGAATGAAATATGTTCTTAAGTGGTAATATAGAATAATTATTTCCCATATGCATTATACTACATAAATAATGAATTAAATATATACTATCAAGTCATAAGATTTAATCTTTTCTTTTTTTTTTGCTGTTGTTTTGGCAAATAATAAAAATGGATCTTCTGTGGTACATCTTTCTTTGCAAAAAAACAAAGCACATAAAATAGAATTGAAGAAATGAAGCAATCTGGTGCAAGCAGTCTAGTTATTCTCTGCAACAGTTGCTGTTTTTCCTAAGTGCTGTTGAGTTGGTTCCAACATATAGCAACCCTGTATAGGCTTTCTGAGAAGTGGCTCATGACTTTCAACCTCTGACCTTGTGGTTAACAATCCAGTACTTATCCGACAGTGCCACACCAGTAGTGACCAAAAATGGACCGGAAGAAAAAGTTTAAAACTCACTTCAGTTTAAGAACTTATACCTCTTAGATCATTCTGGAAAAAAATAGATTGTTTCATATTCTGACTTATTGTAAAATTAATGGATTTAGGTGAAAATAAATTCAAGTAATAAGATCATTTCCTTGTTTCCAGTGAAAATGTAATTGAAGAAGTAATTCAGGCCTACATAAACTTCCCACTAAAATGCCCATGAAGTTCCAACAAAAACATCACCTGACTTAAATTTGGCAGTTTATAGAATTCTGGATGAATTTACACTCATTATAAGATCATGGCATCCTAATGTGGCACAGTAGGGTAGGTACTGAACTACTAACTGCAAGGTTGGTGGTTCAAACCCAGTCGTTGCTCCAAGGAAACCCTATACAAAGTCACTATGAGTCAGAACTGATTGGACTGCAGTTGACAACAACAACAGGAGCAATGGACTAGCAGGAAGGAAGGAAAGAAGAGCTATAGTACTCATATCTTTTATTGAGAAGTGTTACTATTTTGAGGGACCCAAAACATCTTTTTCTATTACTTGTTCCCTGTCTCATTCTACTTTTAATCAAAGATTACAGAGACTGCAAGAAAACAACAGGAGAAAGTGAGTGAGGCACTCATGTTGGCTCATAGCCTTAGATTAGTTGATCCAAAATTAAATCTTACTGTCATAGACTGAATTGTGTCCCCCAAAATATGGGTCAGGCTGAGTGGGCCATGATTCTCAGTCGTTTGTTAATGATGTGATGACCCCATGACATGATCTGATATGATAAACCAGTGAAAGGATTAAGGGTGGGATGCTGTTGTTATTAAGTGCAGTCGATTTGGTTCCAACTTAATGAACCTGCATAAGGTTTCCAAGGAGCAACTGGTGAATTTTGAACCACCAACTTTGTGGTTCAAACTGACCTGTGGGACCAATGCTTAACCTTTCAGCACTACACCAGAATACACGACCCTTAATACTATCATGACCCTGATAGGATATAAGGGAGTTTCTCAGGGATGAGGCATGCAACACTCCTGATAAAAAGGAGAACAATGAGCAGAGAAAGAGGGATGGGATGTGCTCCCACCAAAAAAAGAACCAGGAATGCAGTGGGTGCATTCATCTTGGGGTCCCTGCATTGTGAAGCTCCTAGATCCAGGGAATGACTGATGTCATGACACAGGAATATTTCCCCAAAATTCTGTACCTACAAGTTCTGAAAGGAGACAAGGACTTTTCCTCAAAGCTGGCACACTGAATTTAGACTTTTAGTCACCTAAATTGTGAGAGGATCAATTTCTGTTTGTTAAAGCCATCCACTTGTGGTATTTCTATTACAGCAGCACTAGATAGCTAGGGCACGTGCGAAAACAGTAAGAACTCTAACAGTAATGCATACTGGAGTTAGTAGTAACTAATGGCATTTATATGATCAAAGTGTGAGTCAGAGTGACGGTTGAAGTTTCTACCTTTCAGTTGAGAAAGATAACGTAAGATGAAAATACACTAAGCACTGAGATTTGAGCCATGCATACCGATCTGACTCCAACCTCAGCTTTGAAAAGGAATTTGAACAGCATTTGTGTGAACAGAGAGTGAAGCCAAAAGACATTCATACATCCCAATACTTGGCAAATAATCAGATTAGGATAAATATAGCTACATCCAAAAGTGATAAAATAGAAAAGCCCACTGTACATTATTCATGGTACTATGAGGGGGCTTCAAAAAGTTTGTGGAAAATGAAATTAAAACACAATGGATTTTTTCCCACAGATTTTTTGAAGCGCCTCCTATTGTTCGTAAGAAAATGTTATTCGTTTCTTTAAAACGTTGTCATTCAATAAATATTTCTGAGTGCCTACTATTTAGGGTCACTATGAGTAGGAACTGACTTGACAGCACTTAACAACAACAACAATGCTCCAGAGGAATCTCTGGGCACTGCATCTGGTTTAACACTCAGCTACTACATGGAACATTGGAGGTTTGAATTCACCCAATGGCATCTCAGGAAATAGGCTTGGTAGTAGGGTTCCAAAATGGTGTAGTCCTACTGTGCACTCCTGGGTTTCCATGAGTTGGAATTGAGTTCAGAGCAATTAACAACTAATTGTGTTCCAGGTTCTGTTCTGAGAGATTACTCCAGATTACACCAGGCAATAAGGAACATCATTGGACTTGGGACGCTTACATTCTAGTTAGAAAGTAAATTCAAAAACACGGATATAGGTAATTAGATAGAGATAGACTGATTTGATACTATGTAAGAAGGGATAATGTGATTTATATAAATTAGTAAGAAGTATTGCCAGTGCAACAGACTAAAGATACATTTACAGTTAAGAAGGGTGGTCTGAACAGCCTGATTGACAATAATATTAAAGCAAAGATTTGAATGAAATGAGAGAGTGAAGCCATACATGCATTTGAGAGATCTTACAGGTAGAGGAAAGAGGAAGAATATTAGTTACTAGTTTGGAATGTTCCTGGAGTATTCATAGAGTAGGTATGGGTCCTTGGGGGAAGAGCAAAAGAAGATGAAATAACCAAGATAATTGGGACCAGATTCTGTCTAGTCTACAAAAGAACTTGCCTATGAATGTTGATTTCTATGTGAAGCAAAAACTTGTTTTGAAAATTTGACATTCTCAATGGATGCCTAAAGAGATAATCTCTATGAAACAAAGGCTCACCAGCATGAAGTACAAGGGTAGTATAAATTAAATAAGTAGCTGTATCAGTCTTTGAAAGCCAAATAAATACACTTCCATGCCTAGGGAAATGACTGAAAAAATACCCAAATCATTATGATTGTCTTTGGGTAGCAAAACTATATATTAGGGCTTTTTTTTCTTCTTTCAACTCTGAGTTTTCCAAATATTCTTTTAAAAACTTGATTGTTTTTATGTAAAAACAAACCTTTTTATTAGAAAACCATAATGACTAATTTTTTCTTTAGATTTCTGTGAGTTAAAACAGTAATTTATTTGGAAAAATTGAATTAAACTGCCTTTACCAGTTATGTTGTTGTTTTTGTTGCTAAATGGTATGGAGTCAGTTCCAACTCATAGCAACCCTGTATAGGGTTTATAAAGAGCTGGTGGTGGGTTTGAACGACCAACTTTGTGGCTAGCAGTCCAGAATTCATCCTATAGCACCACATAAGGATTCTGTCTATATTTGTTATGTGTAAATTTCCAGTGATTGCTTCTTTATTCTACAATGTGTAAATTTCTTATCAATTTAAAAGCCTAACAATGCAAAAAATGCTGACAAAATAACCACATTTAAGATGCAAAAAATCTATGTTGCCACAACGTGCACACAGTCTATTCTCTAGTCCAAGGGACCCATGTAAAACCCACACCTAAGAAAAAGAAATCTATTAACTTTATCATTTCATTGTTGCCTTTAAAGAATTGTACAAATATACTTCTGAAATAATACTGCACAGGTGAAAGTTAAGGCTTGTAATCAATGTTGTTGTTAAGTGCCATCCAGTCACTTCCTACTCATAGCAAGCCTGTATAGAGTTTCCAAGAGTGGCTGGCAGGTTTGAACTGTTGACCTTGTAGTTAGCAGTTCAGTGCTTATCCTACAAAACCATACAATTATTAATTTACTTTGAACCAAGTATGAACCTAAGGCCTTTAAAAATATTTATTTATTTAGTTCTTACTATAATTTATAGATAGGTATTATTTCCATTTTACTACTGAGAAAACTAGACTTTAATGCATTTAAAGTCACATAGTGGTTACAAATTGGGCTGCAAACCTCAGGGTCAGCAGTTTGAAACTACCAGCTGTTCCACAGGAGAAAGATGAGGCTTTCTGTTCCTGTATAGATTTACAGACTCATAAACCCTGTACAGGGTAGCTATGAGTCAGAACGGACTCCACGGCACATAACAACAACAATAACAACCAGTAAATAGTAGAAACTGAAATATAACATTTTAAAATCCATAGCCATGCCCTTAACTACTATAGTACAAAACCTATCACACACGAAATACAGTAATCCTGAGTGATTCCCAATGCCAGACTAGTCACAAATTCTATCTGATAGTAAGATTAATTAATAAAACTTTCACACTGCCTTCCAATCTATACTATTCATGAAATTACAAAGTGTGGTAGGGCTGATGAAAGGAAATGTTATTATTACAGACTTATAAAAGAACAGCCTCCCTACTATAGTCTGGTCAGTGATGAAGACAGAGCCTCACACAGTGTTAACAGGGTACCTTTGCTTGAGCATCCTCTGGGTCATCTCCTTTGGAGGCTAGGAGCATGAGTCTCAGTATCAGGGTTATGCTGACAGGGAACTGTCCTCTCAGCTCAGGAACATTGGATTTTATGAGTTTTTCTATTTTGGGCAGTGGAATATCAAAGAAATACACATCTCCAAGAAGGTCTTGACCTCGTCTTCCAGCACGTCCAGACATCTGGAAACAAAGTAATACTACAATGTGAAACTTCTTTTAATATTTTTCTTCTATCATATGTCAGAACCAAATCCACACCACATACCCATCATCACCACCATCATAATACAAGAAATGAACATTGTTACATTGCTTGGAATAAGCAAATTATGCATATGCCAAAGTAGTAACTTAAATTAATATCCAATAATGTGTTGCAAGGAGCTCTGGTAGTGCAGTGGTTACGAATCGGGCTGTGAATCACAAGGTCAGCAGTTGGAAACTACCAGCTGTTCTGTGGGAGAAAGATGAGGCTTTCTGCTCCCGTAAAGATATACAACCTCAGAAACTCTGTACAGGGTCGCTATGGGTCAGAGCCGACTCCACGGCACATAACCACCACCATCAATGTGCTGTTGAATTGGTTCTGACTTATAGGAACCCTGTATGGTTTCTGAGGAAAGGCTGGCGGATATGAACCTCTGGCCTTGTGATTAACAGTCCAGTGCTTATATGGCTGTGTTATATTAGGATTACATTGAACTATGTAACACTTGGAAAAGTTTACTGTGGCTAATACAGAGGACTTAAAATACTTACTAATGAAGATCAAAGCCATAGCCATCCATATGTGTTACATTTCAATGTAAAGAAAGCAAAAATCCTCACCATTGGAGCAATTAATAACATCATTAAAATAGAGAAAAGATTGAAGTTGTTAAATACTTCATTTTTCTTGGATGCACTACCAACACTCATGGAAGCAACAGTCAAGAAATCAAATGACACATTGCATTAGGCAAATCTGCTGCACGAGACATCTTTAAAGTGCTGGAGAGCAAAGACGTCAGTTTGAGGACTAAGGTGTACTTGATCCAAGCCATGGTATTTTCAATGTACATGTGAAAATGTGAACGTTGGATAGTGAATAAGAAAGACCATAGAAGAATTGATGCATTTGAGTTATGGTGTTGGAGAAGGATATTAAAAGTACCATGTACTTCTTGAAGAACAAGGAAATCTGTGTTGGAAGAAGTACAGCCAGAATGCTCCTTACAAGCCAGGATGGTCAGACTTCATCTCTCATACTTCAGACTTATTATCAAGAGGGAACAATCCCTAGAGAAGGACATCTTGCTTAGTAAAGTGGAGGGTCAGTGAAAAATAGGAAGACCCCAGTAAAATGGATTGGCACTGTGGCAGCATCCATGGGCTCAAGCTTAACAACCATTGTGAGAATGATGCCGGACTAGGCAGTATTTTCTTCTGTTGTACATAAGGTCACTATGAGTCAGAACTGACTCAATGGCACCTAGCAACAACAACACAATACAACATTCAAAATGAGATATCTATTATTAGGTATTTAGTTCATGCCAATATGGAACATGGTGAGTGTAGAGTAAGCACTTGACTTCAAGACCACCATCTGCTTTGAGGGAGAAAGACAAGGCAGAGATTTACAGCCTCAGAAACCCTATACAGGTTCACTATGAGTTAGAATCAACTTAACAACACTTAATAATAACAACAACAATTCATTCCAATAAATCTACCAGGCATTTATGTAACTATATGTAGAAGAGATAAACAAAAAATAACAATACAAAATTGACCTAAATTTTGAGGAGATCACAGGTGAACTCTATTCCAACGCATTTTCTCTTTCCCCACTTCTTTCTTTTGCTCCCTCACTTACATACAATCAAAACTTATTTAAAGCAACTTAAGAAACAAAGAAAACATTTTATAGAAGTTATATTATTCTTATATATTATATGCTTAGAATGTGTTAAGTACTTTATTATATATATGTATTTTATAATCAATATCTCATGATAGCCATGTGATTGATTTTATATATATAATTATTTTCTTTATAAAGTGAGAAAATAAGGGCATGCAGACATAAGAAACTTGACCACAGTTAATCAACCAGAAAGAGGAAGATTCATGATTCAAATCCTACAATTTTGACAAGTTCAAACTTATACCACCCTATGTCAAGAATACCAATGAACCCTTTGATAAGAATTTGCGTTATTCATCAATGTTCCTTAGAAAGGATAGTGCTTGTAAGAAAACTATACTGTCAATAATCTTTAAGAAAGACTAGTATAAGGAGAACTGAAAATAAGGAAATTGTTCTGATAATATACTGTTGTTAGATGCTGAGTTGATTCTGACTCACCCTATATACAACACTGTTTGGTTATTCAGCATCCTCACAATCAGAGATGTTTGAGCCCATAGTTGCAAGTCACTGTGTCTATCTATCTGAAGGTTTTCCACTTTAACAGAAATTTGTCTGTCTAGATAACATATCAAAAGTTGTTGTTGTTGTTGTTAGGTGCCATCGAGTTGGAACCAACTCAAAGTGACCCCATGCACAGCAGAATGAAACAATGTCTGATCCTGGGCCAAACTCACTACCACCGCCACACTTGAGACCATCAATGATGCCACCTGGCCAATCCATCTCATTGGGGGTCTACCTCTTTTTCTCTGAGCCTCCGTCTTACCAAGCATGATATCCTTCTCCAATGACTGTTCCTTCCTGACAATATGTCCACAGTATGAGAGACTAAGTTTGGCCATCTTGGCCTCTAAGGAGCACTCTGGCTGCACTTCTTCCAAAACAGATCTATTGGTTTTTTGGCAGCCCATGGCACTTTTAATATTCTCCTCCAACAGCATAACTCAAAGGCATAGATTCTTCTATGGTCTTCCTTATTCACTGTCCAGCTTTCACATGCATATGAGGTTATTGGTCCAGTGTTGAAGATATCTGTTTTCTTTATATTGAAGTGCAACCCATATTGAAGACTGTGATCTTTGATTTTCATCAGGTTATTTCACATGGTATAAAATACCATGGCTTGGGTTAGGCACACCTTAGTCTTCAAACTGACATCTTTGCTCCAAAGCACTTGAGACAAATTCTCAACATCCTCATTTTCAAGATGCATTCTGGCTATACTTCTTCTCTGGCAGTTCATGGTATAGCCAATACTTTGCCAACATCATAATTTAAAGGAATGAATTCTTTTTCATTCAGTCTTCCTTATTTAAGGGACATCTTTTGCATACATATGAGGCAATTGAAAATACCATAGTTTGCATCAGGTGCAGCTTAATCCAACAGTGATATTTTTGCTTTAAAGTGGTCTTCTGTAGCAGAAGTACCCAATACAGTATGTCATTTGATTTTTTTTGACTACTACTTTCATGAGCATTGATTGTCTATCCAAGTAAAATATAATCTTAGACAACTTCAACCTTTTCTCTATTAAGCATGATGTTGCTTACTGGTTCAGTCGAGAGTTTTTTTTTTTTTTTTTTTCTTTTCTTTATGTTGAGGTGTAATCCATACTGAAGGCTGTAGTCTTTGATCATCAGTAAGAACTTCAATCCTCTTCACTCTCAACAAGCAGTTTGTGTCATCTCAACTAAATACAGCAGTTATAAATTAGCCTTCCTAAAATCCTAAATTCTTCTTGATATAGTCCAGTTTCCTGGATTATTTGCTCAGCATAGAGACTTGAATGAGTATGATAAAAGGGTACAACCCTGACTCACACCTTTGCTAATTTTAAACCACACAGTATCCTGTTGGTCTTTGCACAGATTCTGCAGGAGCACAATTAGGTGTTCTGGAGTTCCCATTCTTCCTAATTTATCCACAGTTCTCTATGATTCACTATGCAGATACCTTTGCATAGGCAATAATACATAGATACATATCACTGTATTTATATGTGTATTATTATCATAGGACCTTATACACAACAAAACAAAATAATGTCTAGTCATGTACCAATCTCACAATCATTGCTGCACTTGAACTCATTATTGCTGCCACTGTGCAAATTCAATTTGTTGGGGTGGTCTTCTAAGGAACATTCTGGCTATACTCCTCCTAACACAGATTTATTTCTTCTTTTGGGACTCCATTGTGCTTTTAGTATTCTCCCTCAATGTCATCATAACTCAAAAGCATCAATTATTCTACCATCTTCATTATTTATTGTCCAAATTTAGGATGCATATGAGGCTATAGAAAATGCCATTGTTGGGACAAGCACCCTTTCGTTCTCAAACTGACATCTTTACACTTGAACACTTTAAAGAGGACTTGTGCAGCAGATTTGCCTAATACAATATGTCATTGGATTTCTTCATTGCTTCTTCTGTGAGTGTTGATGGTTGATCTGAGCAAAATGAAGTATTTGACAACTTCAATCTTTTCTCCATTTATCTTGATGTTATTTATTGGTCCAGTGTTGAAGATATCTGTTTTCTTTATATTGAAGTGCAACCCATATTGAAGACTGTGATCTTTGATTTTCATCAGTAAGTATATTAAGGTCCTCTTTACTTTCAGCAAGCAAGGTTGTATCATCTGCATATAATAGACTAAAATCTTCTATTCAACTATCTTGTCTCTTCATTTCTTCTATTTGCTTTAGCATCTCTATGCTGCAGAGCAACTGTCAGCATCTCTTATGACACATTTTGATTTTTTCTTCTTAATGACCTTTTGCTTTCTTTTTATATAATGTTATGTCATCCCACAACTCTTCTGATTTTTGGTCATTAGTGTGCAATGCATTAAATATGTTCTTATGATGATCTCTAAATTCAGGTGGGATATGTTCAAGGTCATATTTTGGCTCTCATGTACTCGTTTTAATTCTCTTCGTCTTCATCTTGAACTTGCATGTGAGCAATTGATGGTCTGTTTCACAGTCTGCCACTGGCCTTGTTGCATCTGATGATATGGAGTTTTTCTGCCATTTCTTTCCACAGATGCAGTGAATTTGATATCTGTGTATTCCATCTGGTGAGATTTTGTATAATCTTTTATATTGTTAAGAAACAGTATTTGTAATGAAGAACTTATTGGTCTTGCAAAATCCAATCATGCAATCTCCAGCATCATTTCTGTAACCAAGGTCATATTTTCTAATGACCGATCCTTCTCCTTTGTTTCTAACCTTTGCTTTCCAATCGCCAGTAATCATAAATCCATCTTGATTGTGTGTTTTGCCAATTTCAGACTGAAGAAGTTGGTAGAATTCTTCAATTTCATCATCACTGGCCTTAGTGATTGGTGCATAAATTTGAGTAATAGTTTATTAACTGGTCATCTTTGTAAGAGCTATGGATATTATCCTATCACAGTCAACATTGTACTTAAAGATAGATCTTGAAATGTTCTTTGTGATTATGAATATGACACCATTCCTCTTCAGTTTGTCATTCCTGGCATAATAAAATATGAGACTGTCATATTCAAAATAGCCAATACCAGCCTATTTCAGCTCACTAATGCCTAGGATATTGATGTTTATGTATTCCGTTTTAATTTTGACAACTTTCACATTTCCTAGATTCATGCTTCATACATCCCATGTTCTGATTATGAATAGATTAATGGATGTTTACTGTTGTTTCTTCTCAGTTTGAGCTATGCCCCTTCAGCAAATGAAGGTCCCCAGTTGTATTTTGAGTGTCTTCCAACTCGAGGGACTTATCTTCTAGCTCTATATCTGACAATTTCTGTACTCTTCATCTTTTGTCAATATTCAATATTGTGGTGCTGACAGTGTTCCACTGCTATTCATAGTTTTTTAGTGACTAATTATTTGCAAATGGTCTGCCGTACTTCTTCCTAGTCTACCTTAGTTTGCAAGCTCAGCTGAAACCTGGCTACCCTAGGTGACCCTTCTGATATTTAAACTATCAGTGGCATAGCTTCCAGAATTACAGCAACATGCAAGCCACCACAGTATGACAAAATAACAGAGATGTAGTGGATTTTGCCCACAGGTGTCGGGGACTGACCTCGACACAGGAACCTTTGGTATTGTAACCCATTGCTTGAATTTTTTCTTCAATTCTTTCTACTTGGGAAATGCTGAGTTTGTTCTTTCCTTTGGTTTTCTAACTCTAGGTCTTTGCACATTTCTTTATAATATTTTACTTTGTTTTCTCGAGCTGCTCTTTGAAATATTTTATTGTGCACTTTCACTTCATCATTTTTTCCATTTTCTTTAGATTTTATGTTCAATAGCAAATTTCAGAGTCTTTTTGACATCCATTTAGATGTTTTCTTTCTTTCCTGCCTTTTCAAATGACCTTATATCTTTATTCACATATGATGTTCTTGGTGTTACGCCACATGTGGTCTTCCGTCTTAGTTTCCAATGTAGCAAATTTACTCTTGAAATAGTTTCTAAATTTCTGTGGGATATACTGAAGGTTGGAGACTTGGTGTGGTGCTGTAGGATAATGCACTAGATTTCAAGGCTGGTTTGAACTCACCAGCCACACTCCTCGGAAATCCTTTACAGGGTTGCTATGATTTGAAACTGACTCAACTGTGCTTAACAACAGCAACAAGATACTCAAGATTGTACTTTGGCTTCTATGGATTTAATTTTATTTAGTTTCAACTTAAACTTGCATATACAAACAACTAAAATTTTGTTCTATATTCAGCCCTAGAGCTTGTTCTGACTGATATCAAGCTTCTCCATTGTCTCTTTCCACATAAGTATGAATTTGATTCCTGCATATTCTCTCAGTCTAGGTTCACATGTTTTGTCCTGTTGTTGAGAAAAGGTATTTGCAATGAATGAATGTCATTGGTCTTGTAAAATTCTACCTTGCAATCTCCACTGTAGTATCTGTCATCAATACCATATTTCCCAACTACTCATCCTCCTTTGCTTTCAACTTTCACATACCAATCACTAATAATTATCAATGTAACATGATTACATGTTTGTTCAATTTCAGATTGTAGAAGTTAGTCAAGCTCTTTATTTTTAGCATTAGTGGCTGGCATTACAATTGCATAATAGTCATATTAAGTGGCCTTCCTTGTAGACAAATGTATCACTGATTACCTGATATTTCAGAATATACTCTGAAATATTCTTTTTAGCTATGAATCTGATTCCACTCCTCTTCCATATTTCATCCCTGGCATATTAGGTCATATGATTGTCTAATTCAAATGGGCAATGCCATCAAATTGAGACAGTATTATTTTTATGTACTCCATTTCATTTTTGACAACTTCCAATTTTTCTAGGTTCATGTTTCCATTGTTTCACATTTTGAATGTTAATGGGAATTTTCAACTGTTTCTTCTGAAGGTCCTGACTAGCTTTACTCCATTCATGTCTCTTGTCCAATTGCATTTTGAGCGCTTTCCAATCTTGGAAGATCATCTTTAGGCACTACTATCAGACAATGTTCTGCTGCTATTTATAAGTTTTACAGTGGCCAGTTTTTTCAGAAGTAAATTTCCAGGTCCTCCTCCTATATCTTGGTTGGGAAACTTTGCTGAAACCTGCTCACTATGGTTGACCTTACTGATATTTGAAATACTGGTGGTATGGCTTTCAGCAACAGAAACACATAAGCCACCAAACTAACAGATGAGTTATTTTATACCACAGCTGAAAACAATAACCAGGCAAGGATGAATGCCACAGTGTACAAGTCAATGAATTGCATTATTTTAGCAGACTAAATATTCTCATGTTTTACTGCTCTGGAATCCTGGTGTGGTGCTGTATGATACGCAATCTACCATAAGGTCAGTTTGAACAGCAAGGTCTGCAGATTAAACTCATCACTGCTCCTTGGAAATCCTCTATAAGGTCTCTATGAGTCGGAACTGATCTTATGGCACTTAACAACAACTCCAGTCATATTTTTAATAACATAAGGAAGACAGTTGATGCATACTGCAATACCTGTCTGTAGTTTAAAGCATCCAGATAGACTGAGTTTTCAGCAAACACCACAGATTTACAAGGCATATTGATTCCTAAAGCAAGTGTCCCTGTAGCTGTCACCACCTAGAAAAAGAATAAAACAATTACTTTTAAAATCAACATTTCAACAACTATCTGTTATATAGTTTCTGAAAAAATTTTTGACCTATTAAGCCACAGTAGAAAAGCTAAAGATAGTGGTCATAGTGATATTCTTATATTTTCCCCAAAATACTAAGAACTTCCTGACTCAAGGCCTAACTGTCACTGTTGGACAAAATATGTTCCCTGCAAATATTCATTTTTTAAAAAACATTTTCATTTCTTTGTTCAAAATTTAAAGGACTTTTTGAAATTACCAGATACACACCCAAAAAGAACACCCCTTACCATTATTATTCATTGTATATCACCGTATGTAGTGAGCCACAATGGCGCTGTAGGATAAGCAGTAGACTGTTAACCACAATGTTGGCAGTTCAAACCCACCAACTGCTCTGTGGGAAAAAGTTGAGGCTGTCTGCTTCTGTAAAGATTTACTGTCTCAGAAACCCTATGCAGGATTAGAGTGAGTTGGAATCGACTTGATGGCAGTTGGTTTTATCCTATACTAATTATCAGTAGTAATGACTACATGAAGGTATATTACTCGCTGTTTAATTGTCCTACAACAAATTCCAAATATCATTCACTTGTTGTTTTGCCACACCAAACAGAGTACCTGACATATGGTACCAGTACCAGTTGCATTTGCATTTACTCTGATTCATGGTGACCCCTGTGTGTAGGGTTAGAACTGTGCTCCATAAGCCTTTCAATGGCTGATATTCTGGAAGTAGATCACCAGGCCTTTCTTCGATGTGCCTTGGAGTGGATCAGAACTACCAATCTTTCAGTGAGCAATGAGCACATCAACCATTTGCATGACCAGCGATTCCTGACACATGATGTTGTTATTAAGTGCTGTCAAGTAGATTCTGAGTCATAGTGATCCTGTATACAGTTTTGAGGAGCAGATGGCAATAAATACATTTTTAGTAAGTGATTAGAAAAGAATTTCAGTTTTCCAAATACACTTCCAAACGATTGCCTACCTTGCTGAACTATAATATGTTTGCAGAGTTTGCATCCATACAAATAGTATATCTAAGTAAAAAGTGAAAAATTGCTTCATTCCCCCCACCCCCTAAATTTCTATGCTAATTTAAGGGAAAGGAGTTTGACAAACTTTAAAGTTTACCAGCATAATCTCACTTTTTCTTTTTTGGCATTTTTCTTTTTTTTTATTTCTAATTGGCCTCCCTTTCTCTTTATGTTGATATCAGTATTGTTGTTGTTGTTAAGTTCCTTAGAGTTGGTTCTGACCAATAAGGACCCAGTATAGTGTTTCTGAGGAGCAGCTGGTAGGCTTGAACTGCTAACCTGACAGTTCAAATAGACTTTGCAGTTCAGAGCATTAGCCCACACTGCCACATCAGAACTCAGGTATCAGCTATAGGGCAAGCTCAATTTTAGTATTTTAAATCTATAGAGTGATTTTTCTCTAATTATTATCTCAGGTAGCTGTATCTATATTCATTAAGGTGCAATAAAACTCTATGATAAGAACAAAAAAAAGTGGGGGGAGTAAAAACATTAAATTTAGAAAATAATTATAATAAATAATTATTTCAGTTAAAAATGTTTTCATTTTAATTATTATAATCAACCAAACATTATACAACAGAATTCTATTATTCTTATTAATGTCTGCATGTTTGAGAAACGTAATGGAACCCAATTAAGACTAAAAAACTGATAATATGGGGCCCACTATATTATCATCTTATGTTAACATGTTCATCAGGGTTTTCAGTGAGTAGATATAAACCACTAAATATATCATTTGCAAAAATCCTAGTTCCCTAACACATATAAATAGCTCTGGGTCACATCAGACCCTCAACACATCTGTACTTTTCTCCATAAAATTTACCACTGGGTTATTGGGAGAATTAAGGACAAAACCACGAGGTCTCCTAATATCTACCTAATCTATATCCCAACAAATTACAACCAAACCAACAAGACATTTGGCCTTTTTATTATTGAAAAAAGCTCCATTAGTTTTTATTTAGTTTTCTGACTCTGTGCTTGTGCCTTCAACACTTCCACAACCATTTCTGTTCCTCAATAAGGAAAGCATGCTTGATCTTGTCACAGACACACTTAGCACACATGGAGCCACCATAAGCCCTACTGACATGTTTCTTTGTCTTGGACAACCTCGTGAGAATTTTAGGTCTCACAGCATGGACCCCGCGAAGTCAACCTAGGGACACACCATGTGTATATTTTGGTGCTTTACCAACATTCTTGCTATAGATGGTAAACAATTCTATTACTAGGGGATTGGGACAGCCTAGTTTTGTTAGAGGCTGTATTATAGAAGAGCCTATGAAGGTGTATGTCAAACCTGGAAGAGTCAATTAATACATTTTTTTTTAAATGTGTCCTCTACAACAAAATTATCACCATTTCCATAACAGAGTGCCTGGGTGGTACACACAACTAATAGCTGACTGCTATCTGAAAGATTGGAGGAACTGAAAGATTGGAGGTTCGACTCCACCCAAAGATGCCTCAGAAGATGAGGCCAGTGATCTTTCAAAAACTCAGCCACTGGAAACCCTATGAAATACAGTTCTAATCATACATCCATGGAGCTGCCAGGAGTAAGAATCAACTTGATAGCTACTATTTTGCTTTTGCTTTTGTTTGTTTTAAACTCTTAGTATTCTTGGTGAAGCCCAGTAGGATAAGCACTTGACTGCCAACCACAAAGTTGTTGGCTCAAATCCACCAACTGCTTCTCAGAAACCCTATACAGGGTAACTATAAATTAGAGCTGGCTTGACAGCACTGAACAACACATTTTTACTATAGCATCTGGTCATTCATTCATTAAACTAATAATCATTGAGTAACTATTATATAATGATTATTTTAGACATTGGCTATGCAGATCAGAATAGGTGTGCCTCTTGTTCTCAATACATAATTTTGCATAAAATAGGTCTCTGGTTACAGACAATTACACTTAGCAGATAACAAATGTTACTTAGTAGAATAACTAAGCAATGTTGTTAATGATACATTTTGGTTAACCAGATAACAGAACTTACCCTTTAATTATATCTGACTTTCACCAATGTTTTCTTTATTAAAATTGGTGGTGGGGGTTGGTGGATGTGTGCTTTCAACTCAGTTCTGATAACCCCCTGCACAGGAGCAGAAAGCCTCATCTTTCCCCCATGGAGTAGTTGGTAGTAATGAACTACTCACCTTGTGGCTAGCAGCCCGACTCATAACCCACAACACTAATGGATGTTAAATAGTGTAACACAATGAGATTCAATTTCTGCTTCTGTATCTATCTGTCTCACTCCTTTTGTTTCTTTTCACTCTCTTATTTTCTCTTTCATGAACACAGACACATAGACACACACAAGAACCTAAGTACGTACCCCAAAATATAATGTGGGAAATCTAAAGAGTGAGATTTTAACGTTATTAAGAAATTCCTGAGAATTTAGCCAAATGATCCCAATGCACATACTACACAAAAGATTACAAGGGTTTGGCTTGCAAACTATGTAATGTCATCGTCCACTTGTGCACTATCAATGATAGCAGTGGAAATATTGTGTGACATAGCTAAATCCTCTGAGTAGATATGCAGTAGGCCCCAAGGAAGACATGTTCTTGCTCTTATTTCAGCTCTTCTTTTTAGTACATCAGAAAAAGATCAAACTAAACTCTTTTTCATGAAGGTCCTCTGTAGCCAAAATGATGTGAACAAATGACAAAATTCTCTGTATATTAAACTTTGAAAATAAAATTTCAAAGATATACTTAACTATAGAAATAACTGGAAAAGTAACTGTTTAGGGAACTGCTTTATTCTCTTAAAGACTTTAGGAAAATAACAGGAAAAAAAATCTAAAATCTTCCTCCCACAATTAAAGTAATGGGGCATATGCAGTTGCACCCTGGGTAGCAAAAAAAAAAAAAAAAAAAAAAAAAAAAGCATATAAATTAGAAGAGAATATGGTTTAATTTTCAATAACATCCCACTTCATGTAGACATCATTTTGATTTTTGGAAAGAAAAAAAAATTACCTACCCTAATAAATCCTTTTCTAAAGAGAACTTCAACTAATTGTTTTTCTTTGGCACTCAAACAGCTGTGATGATATCCAATGCCCCTACATGCCAAAGTCTTCATTTCTTCACCTTTTATTTGGAATCTTACTCGATCAAAAATGTCCTGCAAAGTCTAAAAGAATCAAGATGTTTTAGAAATTTTGACCACTTCTTATCTGGTTTCAATTTAAGACAGAATAAAACATGTCTAAATGAAAATATTTAAACATACACTATCTAATAATATAGTTAAATGAGGCAAATGTCTGAATTTGACTCTACATTAGTAAAGGGAATGCTGCTTGGAAGTAAAAGAAACTCTGGAGAAAATATTGATTTTTCTAACAGACTGTGTTAACCCCACTTCAAGTGTGAAAAATACTAATAAGGCCATAGATAAGACACTTAGGGTACCCTGGAGAAGATGAGCTTTCTACTGGAGTTTTAGGAGTATTTTCCCTGAAGAGACTCCACCAAAAAAACAAAGCTGTTTCCTTAAACTACATGGTCAGTGAAAGCTTACTTCTCACCTCAAAGAAGCCATGAGTGACATTTAAAGAATCCATACTCTAAAAGATGATTACACACATGGACATCACCAGATGGAATACAAGGAAATCAAATCAAGTACATATGTGGAAAGGAGTGGTGGAAATGCTCCATATCATCAGCTAAACCAAGAATGGGGCACACCAGAGAACAGTACATCAGTTGCTCATATGCAAATTCAGGCTGAAGCTGAAGAAAACTAAAACAAGTCTGTGAGAATCAAAACTTTGAACATATACCATCTGAATTTAGAGATCATCTCAAGGACAGATTTGATGGATTATATACTAATGATTGAAGACCAGAAGAGTTGTGAGATGACATCAAGAATGTCATAAGAGAAGAAAGCAAAAGGTCATTAAGAACACAAGAAAGAAGAAAAAAGTCAAAATGGATGTCAGAAGAGAACTCTGAAACTTGCTTTCCAGCATCAAGATGCTAAAGCAAAGGAAGAAATGAGGAGGAAAAGAGATTGAACAAAAGATTTCAAAGAACAGCTTGAGAAGACAAAACCATATATTATAAAGAAATGTACAAAGACCTGGGGTTAGAAAACCAACAGGGAAGAACAGACTCAGCATTTCTCAAACTGAGGTAAAGAATAAACAGAGTCACTTTACTAAAAAGAAATGGTCAATGTTCAGCCATTTCAAGAGGCTGATCAATATGATTAATAGTCAATAACATTGAAGGAAGAAGTCCAAGTACACTGAAGGTATTGAAAAGAACAAGGTACTGGGAATTGGTAGAATACAAATTGAAATCTTTCAACAAACTGATGTAGTACTGGAGGCACTCGCTCATCTATGCCAAGAAATTTGAAAGACAGCTACCAGACCAGCTGACAGGAAAAGATGCATATTTGTGTCCATTTCAAAGAGAAGTGACCCAGCAGAATGCGGAAATCATCAGACAACATTATTAATATTGCATGCAAGTAAAATATTGCTAAAAATAATTAAAAACTAGCTGCAAAAGTACATTGACAAAGAACTGCCAGAGATTCTAGCAGGATTAAGAAGATGTGGAATGAGGGATACAATTGCTGGCTTCAAATGAATCTTGGTTGAAAGTAGAGAATACCAGAAAGATGTCTACCTGCACTTTATTAACTACACAAAGGATTTCGATTGTGTGCATCATGAAAAGCTATGGACAACATTGCAAAGAATGTGTATTCCAAAACACTTAATTGTGCTCATGTGGAACCTGTACAAAGACCAAGAGACAGTCTTTTGAATGAAATAAGGTAACACTGAATGGTTTAAAATTAGGGATGGTGTGCAGCAGGGTTGTATTCTTTCACCATATTTATTCAATCTATATGTTGAGCAAATAACTTGAGAAACTGAATTATATGAAGAAAAACATGGCATCAGGGTTAGAGAAAGAGTCCCTAACAACCTGTGATATGCGGATGATACAATCTTGTTGGCTAAAAGTGAAGAGGACTTAAAATAGTTACTGATGAAGATCAAAGACCACAATCTTCAGTATGGGTTGCACCTCAATATAAACAAAAAACAGAAATCCTCCACACTGGACCAATAAATAACATCAACATAAATGGAGAACAGATTGAAGTTGTCAAAGACTTCATTTTGCTCGTATCTACCACTAAAATTCAAGAAATCAAATGATGTACTTCATTGAGCAAATATGCTGCACAAGACTTCTTTAAAGTGCTGAAGAGCAAAAAAGTCAGTTTGAAGACTAAGGTGTGCCTCACTTAGCCCTGGTATTTTCAATAACCTCATATGTATGTGACAGTTGAACAATGAATAAAGAAGACCAAAAGAGAATTGATACATTTGAGTAATGGTGTTGGAGGAGAATATTAAAAGTACTATGAATCACCAAACAAATCTGGGTTGGAAGAAGTACAGGCAGAATGCTCCTCAGAAGCCATAATGGAAAGACTTAATCTCTTATTAAGACATCAGGACCAGTCCCTGGAGAAGGACATCATGCTTCATAAGTGCAGGGTAAGAAAAAACAGGAAAGTCCCCAACAAGATGGATTGGCATAGTGGCAGTAGCAATGAGCTCACATTAGCAAAACATGTGAGGTTGACTCATGGCCAGGCAGTGCTTCGTTCTGGGTCAAGATAGCGCCTAACAACAGCAACATGTTCCAAGGAGGAAATTCAATTTTAGGGAGTTATATAGGCAAAGATGCATACTTCTTATTTTCTTATTCTCCTTTCGGAGAAAAAAGGGAAAATAAAACACAAAACCAGCCAACCTGTCTTAAACAAAGGCTGGTTCCTTAAATCATAGTCATCTATATAATGGACTATCAAGAAGCCATCAGAATGATGCAAGAAGTATATGATTATTATTAAGAAACATATTAACAGTAGAAAAATTAGGTAATAAAATAATGTATACAGTATCATTTGATTTTTGTTAAGAATATATGAGATGAGTATGTATATCTGTAAAAAAAGTGTGTGTTTCTGTCTGTAGTGTACGTGTAGGTATAGAAAAAGTTTCATCCATCAGGGCAATGATTACATACAAGTGATAATATTGCTTTTACTGATGCTGATTTGTATTTTTTTTATTTTATTTGTATTTTTAAATTTGTCTTCCATGACCATAAGTGATTTTCATAACAAAAATATTTTAAATAAGAAATGGCATAATACTATCAGATATTTTCATGACTTTTGAGTGGAAGCCATGGTTATTATAGAAGTCTCTAATTTTGAGAAATTGTGTGAATACTACTTACAGTGTATTTGATTATCTGTCTCCAAAATATGATAACTATCCAAATGAAGCCATGAGACTGGATTCAAGAATTCAGGCTATAAACTAATATGATACAGAGAAATAATGAAAGGACAGACATTTTCTGAAATAAACTGTCAAAAAATAAAAAAAATAACATGTAAATCCTTTTCAATATACATTGCAGCAGTACACATGAAATACAAAAGAAGGAAGAAATGATTTGCTAGAGAAATGTTCAATGCTATGTGCTAACCTTAGTGTCTATTGCTTTTTCATCAGCATATGTGCAGTCCTGAGGGATTCTTAGGTTCTTCTCTAGGCTCTTGCATATATTCTTATATTCAGCTTCTTGTATTAGGCTTTGGTCCATTTTTCTGGGATTTTTCTGACTTTTTCCATCTCTGTTTATAAAAATAAAATTTTAAATAATGGTTATTCATACTCAGTCACCATAAGAAACTCAAGATTTCCCAGCTCATCTTCATTACTAAAATTTTCACACTTATCCAGCATCAAGCCTGACTGAATTTCCTCCCTCTGATATACTTGTTCATAGAAAAGTGTGGAAGAGAAAGAATATATAGTTGAGGATGAAAGTAGTTGGAAGACAGGTTGAAGAGATTAAGGCATGGCCCAAAAATGTTAGCATATCAGCAATCATGTAAGAATTTCAGCCTGAATCCAAACAGAAGCAAGAAAGAAGAAAACCAAAGAAAAATTAGATTGATTGTTAGAAATGTTATGTTGTTGTTGTTGAGTCCATACCGACTCATAGCAACCCTACGCACAACAGAACGAAACACTGCCCGGTCTGGGCCAACCTCACAATTGTTGCCATGCTTGAGTCCACTGATACTGTCATATTGCCAATTCATCTCACTGGGGTATCTTCCTCTTTTTCTCTGACCTTCCACCTTACCAAACATGATATCCTTCTCCAGTGACTGGTCCCTACTTACAATATGTCCGAAGTATGAGAGATGAAGTTTGGCCATCCTGGCCTCCAAGGATGCACTTCTTCCAATACAGATCTGTTGGTTCTTTTGGCAGCCCATGGCACTTTCAATATTCTCCTTCAACACCATAACTCAAAAGCATCAATTCTTCTATGGTCTTCCTTCTTTACTCTCCAGCTTTTGCATGCATATGAGGTTATTGGAAATAACATGGCTTCGGTCAGGCACACCTTAGTCTTCAAGCTGATGTCTTTTGAGGAACAAATTGAACATACTATCAGATTACATATTCTTCCTGGGTCTGCTGTATGCCTCTTGGATGATGTACATATTCCTCACGAGTACAAGTAAGTATTCAGGAATGCTCATATTTTCTAATATTGTGCATAGCTTGTCTGTCATGATCCACACAATTAGACACCTTTGCGTAGTCAATAAAGCAGAGGTAAACATCTTTCTGGTAATCTCTGCTTTCAGCCAATATCCATTGGACATCAGCAATGATATTCCTCATTCCACATCCTCTTCTGAATCCGGCTTGAACCTGTGGAATTTCTCTGTCAATGTATGCTTGCAACCGTTTCTGTATTACCCTTTACTAAAACTTTACTCACATGGAATATCACAGATATTGTCCGATGATTTCTGCATTCCACTGGGTCACTTATCTTTGGAATGGGCACAAATACAGATCTCTTACAACCAATTGGCCAGACAGTTATCTTCCAAATTTCTGGGCATAGATGAATGAGTGCCTCCATTGCCGCCTTACTTTCTTGTAAGATTTCAATTTTTATTCCATCAATTCCAGGTGCCTTGCTCTCTGCCAATTCCTTCAATTCACCTTGGACTTCTTCCTTCAGTATCATTGGCTCTTAATCATATGCTACTTCTGTAAATGGTTGAACATCAACCATTTCCTTTTGGTACAGTGACTCTGCATTCCTTTCACCTTCTCTTCATGCTTTCTGTATCATTCAATAATTTGCCCAGGGAATCCTTCAATAACAAAAGCCGAGACTTGAATTTTTTATTCAGTGTCCTCAGCTTGAGAAATGCTGAACGTGTTCTTCCTTTTTGGTTTTCTGATTCCAGATCTTTGAACATTTTGTTGTAATATTTGGCTTTGCCTTCTTGAGCTGACCTTTGAGACTGGCAAGTGGGTATCATCTGCAGGTGTGGGTGTTCCTGCATCTGTCCACCCTCTTCTTATCAGTTGGTCGCTTCGGTCTCCTCTCTAGTCCTCTGTGGATGTGTCACTGACTCTGAGCCCATGAGTCCCCAGGTCTTGCCTCACTGCTGGCCGACCAGGTCTCTACCTGGGCTCACCATAGTCTGCTGAACGATGCAGGGCTTAGCTCGCAGCTTCTTCGATGTTCTTCAGTCACTTCTCTTTATGGGTGATGTGTGTGGTCGCCATTCAGAACGTATTTTCCCATTGCATCTTTGTCTTGGAGGAGGATTTGCACTGAGAGGACCTAACCACTTGCCTTGATATCTCCTGGGCAGACAACTTGCTTGTTCTTGTGGTAACAGTTGGACTGCCCTTGTTGTTTTGTATTTTTCCTGTAGGTCCTTCTTTCAAGAAGTGTCTTCTGGTTTTCTGGCTGCTCCAGGCTGGTCTGCTTGTCCTTTCAAAAGGAAAGTTTCCCTTCTCTGATGGTCTGGATGTGGTTCAGGCTTCCTTCTATAGTTTTATGCAATGCACAGGCTCCTCATGAGACCTCCTTCACTAGATACATTGTAGCCCCATTTTAGGTATTCCAATTAGATATAGGCAGAAGACGGACTTACAAGCTCTCTATGGTGATATTTCTGGCTATTCCTTTCACTCTTCCTCCAGTGACTGTTTTATATTATAATGCACGGAAAACCAAGGTTCAAAAGTTAGCCAAGTATCTCAACATTATTCCCCACTTTTCCCCATTCCAACTCTGTCCCCGTCTCTGGATCCCAGAGCCCTGTTGTTCCAAGGCTATGCCTAGATCTGCTTTTACCTCTGTCCCATTTAGCTCATTCATACCTGCCTAATTTTCTCCCGTCTGCCTTGTTCTTCCATTACCCTCTCCCTACTTGTATATTGCTCCCCTCCCCAATACCCAAATTATCCTATGTCTATTCCCTGCTCTGTGCTCCGCCTTCCCCTCCCCCCTTTATTCCTACCCCTATGTCCTAGCAACCTGCTAGGAATCCACTTTAGTGGATTAGTATGGGTTCTTTTTCTTAGTCTTTTACAGTAGTGGTCCTATGCAATATTTTTCCTTTTGTGATTGACTAATTTCACT